GCAGAAAGTGTGAAAGGAAGAAAAATTACAAGTCGACTGAAGAAAGGTTAACTTGTCAAACTGCAGAGGAAAGCTGACTTAATGTAAGACCTAATGTAAGAAATGGCATGGCGTCTTATTCGTGTATACCCGAATCAAAATGTTGAGCAGAATCATATTGGAGAAATCAATAGATGTTCCGACTGGAAGACTTCATTTAGAATAGGCTAGATTCACTAGTTGAGGACGGCACTCAACTATTTACCTTGAATTCACTGACCTTTAAGAAGTCCTCGTTAGCGTTGGATTTCAAGTAATTGGAAAACTACTTCGACGCTATGGACTGCACTGCTTGAAACATTTAGAATTCTAATTCAACAGGAATACGATGATGCCACACTTACCTGAGCATTTGAGGTTATGACAGGAGTAAGACAGAGATGCCTACTATCACAGACTCTATTCCTGATCATAGTGCACCGGGTCATGTAACAGACTGTGTGTAGTGAGAGGATTGTCATATGCTAAACCCCGAAATGCCCCCCTAGATCTGGGTTTAGCAGATGGTTTATGTCTAATGTCACACAAACTCTGAGATCTATAGGCGAAAACCATGAAGTTGGCAGAAGTGGAAACGAAAACAGCACTTCGAGGGAACATAGAAAAAACAGCAACAACAGCGACCGGTCTCCATCAACGGGAGGAATTTGTACGAAAGCTGTCGCTGTCATCTACCTAGACAAAATCAGAATATGAAAGTCGGTATCATCAAAATCAGTAAAGAAATCTACCCCACTCAGTATAAGGAAGAAGATTCGAATTTTGAACATTAATGTTAAGCCAGTGTTTTCACATGGATACGGGACTTTGCGCACGTGTCACTAAACGTTTTCCAACAGGTTACTACAGACATTCATCAACAACTGTCTTCATCCCGAAGAGGAAATCAGACAGCCAGGAAGGATAAGTAATAAGGAACTTTCTCAACGAATCAACCAAGGATCTAGTGCTCAGAAAATATGCAGAAAACCGTGGAGACCGTTCAGCGTTATCAAGCGCCAGGCCAACGACTGCAACCTGAATATGAAGTGACCAATCACAGGTATCCCGAAGAGTGACACAAAGGAGATTGTGTGAGAAGTAAATGAAAGCTTATGAGCCATTGTGGGGTTATCTAAAGGGGAGTATAAAGATCTAACTGGAATGGTAGTGTTATGCTGAAGCCATCCAGAACCCAAGCGATAAATAATAATAATATTTTATAAGAATGACAATTTTTGTTATCTAAAATCACAGATAAGAAGACAGAGATGTAGTGAAAGTAAACTGTAGAATGTATTGATCTAACTACACGACACTTTAAAGAATACTTTTCTGGTTTCGAAGGGAAATATTAATTATTTTCTAAACTTGACTGATAGAATTCAGTCTCCACCGAATAATGGACTTGATATATTATACTAGTTGTCCAATCAAAGTATCCTACACAGCTCTACAGGAGGTCAGTCGTGAGCCTAAATAGCTCTCGAGTGACATCTCTGACTGTAGCAGTGGGTGACGTGGTTTCAAATCTCACGAGGGACACGAATTTCTTCTAGGTTGCAGATACACCTTACTGACTGCTGAGTACCGACTAGCAGATAACCTACGTCAGGCAAGACCTCCTGCCGATTGCCTTCAACCATCTAATATCAACAATTAACAGTGCACCGTGATAGTGAGCCACCTAGCTTGTCGGTGGCCACATTCATAAACTGACTGATAGAATTCAGTCTGCACCAAACAAACGACTAGAAACATTGTATCAGTCATTAACTGCTGTCGAATCACAGAATCTTCAATGACATGCTTCTTCTTTGTGTTCATGTTCATGCTACTCACTTGTAGCAAGTAGTATAACTTTGATCACTACAATAACCAAACATAATGGTCCATTGACATAATGTTACACCTCATTTGATGTGTTCGCATTCTGTTTGGTCTGTAGTAATTCTTATCCAATTATTAAAAAACTACACTTCCTGTATATTTATCGTTAATATTCCAATTTCTTTTGAAACTTATTTGCTCTGAGTATTTGCACTTTCTTCATTTCCAGCATAGTTCATTTCCACTCAGCACTACCATTTTACCTCATTAACTCATCTTCTTCAAAACATCTTTGTTTGAATGGATGTTCCGATATCATTTTAACCAGTCTACCTATTTACCAGCTGCTGGCGGGGAAATTCACCAGGAAATTATCAAACTTTCTTTGTTGTTAACCTTCAATCTCTTGACTAACTAGCCACTATAGTAGACCAATAAAAGACGAACCGATGTGTCGTGATAAACGGTTATTTATGTACTATTCATTCGTAATATAACCAATCACAGCTCTCTGGTGACTGTAGTGAAATCGAAAGCTTCAACTGTCACTAACCACTATGCAAAATATTCTGAAAGTCACCTGAATATATCCCAATGTTTTATCATGTTATTGGATAAATTCGCACATATATTCCAGCTGAGTAGTACCCAATTTATATATTTCGAAAATAGGAAGTGATTCTATAAACGATGTCTGCTTCAGAAAGACACCTATGAAAGATATGAGGTCGAAGCAGGCTAACCAGTGAGCTCAAATATTCAAATGAAACAGATAAAAGAAGTATTCTTTCTAAATAACTATCCCGTAGACATTTCATTCAGTTGTAAAACTCACCTTAAATAATAGAAACTATTCATCATAACACTGACATGAAGGAAATTAAGGAGTCACCATAAAGATCAATGGAATGTGAACGCACAGGTAACGCACTCGTGTCCGACGAATCTGCAGCTCTGATACCATGGAAGAAGAACTAAACTTCCTGAAAGAAACCTTCATACAAAACGGTTACACATCAAGATTCGTAGACAAAAACATCAAACAAAAAATCCAAAAGCAAGAGACAGCATCCGTGCCAAAAATGATACTTTATATGAACCTCGACTTCAAAGGAGACATACTAGGTGACGTCCTTAGAAGGAGAATCTCCACCTCTTTAAGAAGAACTTTCTTATGGAGACGTTAAGAAATGTTTCACAACTGTTTACCCACACACATACACACTCTGTTTAAAGTGTTTAACAAAGGTAGACCAATATTTGTAAGTCCGAGGTCAAATTTTGATCACAGCTCATAACATTTTGTTTATTATACTTGTTGATACTTGTTGAATGACTTATGATTGGACAAATTTTTTAAAAACTATTGATGTTCCTTTTATATATAAACCTCTGTTATGTTATATAATTCAATTTTAGATTTTTCCCGTCGATTGATTGGACTGAAGTGCTCGGTTTCAGGTTGACATGTCGGCTTCTTGAGCGGATGCTTCGACGATGTCTGGGCATTTAATTGGTGATTAATTGGTGGATGGTGACTAGCAGTGGGAACATCATCATTCACTGAGAAATGCAGGTACATCCAGATGACGAGTCCTAAATAGGATGAAATGTGCATCCTGGATTCCAATCCTAGTCACCATCCACCAATTAAGTATTCTGTTATGTTAACTTCGATTAATTTCCCTGAAGAAGTTCGGACCAGATTGCCGAACGAAACATTGGAATTAATCAAAGCTCAAAGCTTCTTTGAAATATTCTTCAACACAAAAACACCCATTGCTCCATTCACTTCATGTCTTGACAAAAGAGATTGAATTAATGACGCGGCTCATTGATCTGTTTTGTCTCATACATAAAATCAACATGAGTATATCAAAGTGTGAAGAACACTGAGAAGAAATCTGCAAATATAATTAGCTTACAATTCTTTGATGATTTTTTCAAGTATTGATTTTTGTAGGGGATTTTGTTTCAAAAGTTGGAGGATTTCATCATGAGCTGACATCAGTTAGAGAACCATTGGAGAACCAGCTGGGAGTACTGGACAACCGTTTCGTCAGCCTGGTATTGGACTCTTCACAGCACAGACCCACCACCGGGGTTCGAACCCAGAAACATCTGGTTACAAGGCAAGATAGCCAGTAGACCTGTTTAATGTCTTTTGATATATTTCTATGAGAAAACCACTGTATTTCCTGATTGGTCGGCTGAAGGTTACCTGTGCGTTCACATTCCATTAATCTTTATAGTTTGACTTTAGCATACCCATTACTTTTAGATCAAGACTCTAGACGCCTTAATTTCCTTCATGTCAGTGTTATGATGAATAGTTTCTATTATTTAAGGTGAGTTTTACAACTTAATGAAATGTCTACGGGATAGTTATTTAGAAAGAATACTTCTTATATCTGTTTCATTTGAATATTTGAGTTCACTGGTTAGACTGCTTCGACCTCATGTCTTTCACAAACGTCCTTTTAAGGAGACATCGTTTAAAGAATCACTTCGTATTGTCGAAATATATAAGTTGGGTACTACTCAGCTGGAATATATGTGCGAATTTATCCAATAACATGATAAAACTTTGGGATACATTCAGTTGATTTCTACTTGGATATTTTGCATAGTGGTAAGTGACAGTTGAAACTTTCGATTTCACTACAGTCACCAGACAGCTGTGACTGGTTATATTACGAATGAATAGTACATAAATACCCGTGTATCACGACTCATCGGTTCATCTTCTAGTAGTATACTATACAGGCTAGTTGAACAGAGGCTATAGCCTCTAGAATTCATTAAATGGCCATTGGATCAGGTACCAGTGGCTTAATGGTCTACAAGCTTGCTAGCCTTGTAACCGGAACGTCCAATGTTCGATGCACACTACTGAAGAGTCCCAAACTAGGACGAAACAGTTGTCCATCACTGATATCAGCTTCTTATCAAACTTGAAGCAAAAATGTGGTTTAACACTGTCAATACTAACAACAGCTGAAGCAGTGCACAAATCGATATGAAGGCATACATATACATAAGGCGTCAATACTCCACAATGTTAATTTTTTTTAATCAGCCACTCACTATCTTCAAACAACAAAAAATACCCAATATCTGAGCTTACTTTGCACACTCTTTTTTTGTCTTTTATCACAACGATCACAGGATCCAGCATAACTACAAGATGGTTGTCGCCTGATTATTTGTTGTCGTTGTTGTCGAAATGGTTTTTGTTCGTGTTCGCTTTGTTGCTGGTGTTGGTCGGATTACCGTTTTCCACCTGAACAACTTTCTTCACATTTGAATAATGCAGAATAGTTGAGTGTATCAGCACAAACACAACTGTCAACAGCAGCAGCAGCAGCTGACGCAGTAGTAGGCGTTGGATTACTGTTCCCAGCTGTTGAAATGCACTGACAAACTTGTCCTATTCGTCTTTGACTAGTAACTTCATCATCAGGTGAATTAGATTCATTATGAAATTGATGAAATTGTCCATTGGATGTTTGATATCCTGTCTGAAATAAAATAAAATAAAATGAGTTAAGTGAATGGATGGTGTGAGGCTCGAACCCAGGATCCAGTGAGCTGAAAATCGACTATTTAAGCTAATGAACGCATTCCGAAAACATGGACCTCGGTAGTCGTCATTCCATATAGAGCAGAGACGTCAGACAATATCAGAAGAGTATTCAATAAGCCTGTATAGTATATAGAGGCTAGTTAGTCAAGAGATTGAAGGTTAACAACAAAGAAAGTTTGATAATTTCCTAATGAACTTCCTCTCCCGCAGCTGGCAAATAGATAGACTCGTTTAAATGATATCGGAACATCCATTCAAACAAAGCTGTTTTGAAGAAGATGAATTAATGAGGTAAAATGGAAGTGCTGGGTGGAAATGAACTATGCTGGAAATGAAGAAAGTGCAAATACTCAGAGCAAATAAGTTTCAAAAGAAATTGGAATATTAACGATAAATATACAGGAAGTGTAGTTTTTTAATAATTGGATAAGAATTACTACAGACCAAACAGAATGCGAACACATCAAATGAGGTGTAACATTATGTCAATGGACCATTATGTTTGGTTATTGTAGTGATCAATGTTATACTACTTGCTACAAGTGAGTAGCATGAACATGAACACAAAGAAGAAGCATGTCATTGAAGATTCTGTGATTCGACAGCAGTTAATGACTGATACAATGTTTCTAGTCGTTTGTTTGGTGCAGACTGAATTCTATCAGTCAGTTTATGAATGTGGCCACCGACAAGCTAGGTGGCTCACTATCACGGTGCACTGTTAATTGTTGATATTAGATGGTTGAAGGCAATCGGCAGGAAGCTTTGCTTGATTTAGGTTTCTTGCTAGCTGGTACTCAGCAGTCAGTGAGGAGTATCTATAACCTAGAAGAAATTCATGTCCCTCGTGAGATTTGAAACTACGTCACCCACTGCTACAGTCAGAGATGTCACTGCTGAGCTAATTGGTGTTTGCGAGTGACCTCCTGTAGAGCTGTGTAGGATACTTTGATTGGACACCCATTAGTAACTGGTGTGATATATCTAGTCCATTATTTGGTGCAGATTGAATTCCGTCAGTCAAGTTTGGAAAATAATCAATATTTCCTTTTGAAACCAGAATAGTATTCCTAAAGTGTCTTGTAATTAGATCAATACATTCTACAGTTTACTTTCACTACATCTCTGTCTTCTTATCTGTGATTTTGGATAAACAAAATTGTCATTCTTATGAAATATTATTATTATTTATCGCTTGAGTTCTGGATGGCTTCAGCATAACACTACCATTCCAGTTAGATCTTTATACCCCCCTTTAGATAACCCCACAATGTCTCATAAGCTTTCATTTACTTCTCACACAATCTCTTTTGTGTCACTCTTCGGGATACCTGTGATTGGTCACTTCATATTCAGGTTGCAGTCGTTGTCCTGGCGCTTGATAACCCTGAACGGACTCCACGGTTTTCTGCATATTTTCTGAGCACTAGATCCTTGGTCCACTTGTTGAGAAAGTTCCTCTTTTCTTATTCTTCCTGGGTGTCTGATTTCCTCTTCGGGATGAAGACAGTTGTTAGTGAATGTCTGTAGTAACCTGTTGGAAAACGTTTAGTGACACGTGCGCAAAGTCCCCTATCCACGTGAAAACACTGGCTTAACAATAATGTTCAAAATTCGAATCTTCTTCCTTATACTGAGTGGGGTAGATTTCTTTACTGATTTTGATGATACCGACTTTCATATTCTGATTTTGTCTAGATAGATGAAAGCGACAGCTTTCGTGCAAATCCCTCCCGTTGATGGAGACCGGTCGCTGTTGTAGCTGTTTTTTACATGTGCCCTCGAAGTGCTGTCGTCGCTTCCCCTTCTGCCAACTTCATGGTTTTCGCCTATAGATCTCAAAGTTTGTGTGACATTAGACATAAATCATCTGCTAAACCCAGATCTAGAGGGGGCATTTCGGGGTTTAGCATATGACAATCCTCTCATTACACACAGTCTGTTACATGACCCGGTGCACTATGATCAGGAATAGAGTCTGTGATAGTAGGCATCTCTGTCTTACTCCTGTCATAACCTCAAATGCTCAGGTAAGTGTGGCATCATCGTATTCCTGTTGAAGTAGAATTCTTAATGTTTCAAGCAGTGCAGTTCATAGCGTCGAAGTAGTTTTCCAATTACTTGAAATCCAACGCTAACGAGGACTTCTTAAAGGTCAGTGAATTCAAGGTAAATAGTTGAGTGCCGTCCTCAACTAGTGAATCTAGCCTATTCTAAATGAAGTCTTCCAGTCGGAACATCTATTGATTTCTCCAGTATGATTCTGCTCAACATTTCGATTCGGGTATACACGAATAAGACGCCATGCCATTTCTTACATTAGGTCTTACATTAAGTCAGCTTTCCTCTGCAGTTTGACAAGTTAACCTTCCTTCAGTCGACTTGTAATTTCTCTTCCTTTCACACTTTCCGCAGGATTACCGTTAGAACATTCGCTGTCGACTGTGGTTTTCAGTGACTCTAGAGGAGTAAAATGCTGATTTGTTGTCATTTTTTACTTCTTTTAAACCACCGATTTCTGTTGGCCTCATCTAGATTTCCCGCACATGATGTCACTTTAAAATGCAAGTCTCTGTTACATGTTCTCATCGTTACAATGGATTTAAATCATAAATAAACTGAGTGACAACTTAAGAATATGCCAAACATCATGCACAGTTTGAAAAATGTGTATCCTTGGGTGGTAAATCATCAGACAAAGGTTAAGAAATACAATCTCTCATAGTCCACTCATCCCTTGACTTTCTAACTTCTTTTAATCTGATTAGTCACAAATGATGACGAAAGTGCATTCCTGTATAATCATTCTTCGATAAACAAGATTAAATATTCTGTGTAACACCCTGTAGAATAGTGATAAAATATGCTACACATACATTAATATCATCATCACCGTCATCAAAGTTGCTGGTCGTCTAAAGCCTTAATTTCCATCCAATCAATAATTTAAGTATTCAAGCGTTTGTCTGTGGGGATTTGATTACCTACAGGAATTCACCATAAGCTGACACAGCTTAGGGAACCATTGAAAACCATGCAACTTAGCGACTGTTCAGTATGAACCATGCAACTAACACCGTGGTCCGAACCCAGGATCACTCGGATAGAAGGAAACCATAAAACCATTCACTGTCCATGAATTCCAGCTTCCACTAATATGTGTTTTTAGCCTGACAACCAACCAGTGTCGTTGACGAGTATTTATAATACTCAAATGTCGTCGTTCACTGTGACAATTCAAAACATACTGTCAAGTAGCACTTGTCAATTCTGATGGAAATAAAATCGAAGTTTATGAGCAATACATGGTACATTCGGATAAGCATAGCACATCACGCTGAGTCCTCTGATAATCTAAAGGAATTCAAAGAGTTTAGGGTGTCGAAGGTAGGTGTGTTACATTTCCATCTTGAACGACGAAATTCATCAAATATCCAAGAAGCTAGCTAGATTTCAGGTGGTATGAATGGAATTGATCAGTCGAGCTGAATCTCCCTTAGCCTCAACCAAACGAACTGGCAATACGGTGTCAAGATGACGTCTAACTGTCCAGCAGGCACCATGAGTTGACCTGAGTGGCTTCCAACTACTGATATAATTCAGTAGTATTCACCATCATAAATAATTTTATGTGAGTAAATGAATATAATGATGGATATCACCGAGTGTATTTTTGATCATGAAATTTTTCAGTGCAAACTACCAAGTGTATTAAGGGTTATATCAATTCTAATTTGTTTAATAAATTAAGTGCGTTTATTAATAATTCATTGAAGCCAAATTCCACTGTACTTTGTTCAAGCACACTTAGGTGTATTTATTTTTGTGAATGTTATGTGAAATGAAATAATCAAGTATTCTTAATAGTGCGTTGTTTTTCTAAGACAAGTTCTTTTCACATACGTTTGTCTGACCATGTTTACGGGTATTGTCTGAAACACTATCGATTAAAGAATATTGGAATTTCTACACATTTTTTAAAAGAACACTCCAAGTAGTGCTGAGTTGAATTTCAGTGGTTGTGATGGGAAACTTTATTGAAAGTGCATCATCTATTGGTGTAGACATTTTACTCACTATATCCATTAGTGTTGTAGAATCTTACCGATGCCTTCAGACATTTTATGTTATACTTCCAACTAATCTTATTACTGTGATTATTACTATTCCCTTAGATTCGTAGTGGAATATGAGACTTCAGCAGCTCATCCCCACTTGACCCTGTTTTCTGTGGTTTTAATTAGATGGTCCCACGAATGCCCATAGTCTCTCACCTCCTACTCACACAGTCTCTTTCCTATCCACGTTGCCCTTGGACGCCCTATTCGGGTTCGACTCAAGGGCCTGAAGTACAATGCTACGTACCTGTCTCCTCAGCGTGTGTTCCATCTATCTCCATTTTCTCCTCAATATTTGTTGAGTTATAGGCACTTGATTGGTTCGTTGTCAGAGTTTCTTACTGCTAATTATTTCTGGCCATTCGATTTTCAGTATGGAGCCACCGAAGTCAGCTGTTGACAAGAGTCTGCAACACCCTTTAAGAAAACGTTTTCTTGGAGTTTACTGAAAACTTTGACCACTATAGAAGAACTGACTTAACTCTGGTGTCGAAATTTCAAATTTGCTCTTTATCCTGAGTGATTGTAGCAGATTTTCAAACTGTTTTAAGCGGGATGAAGGTCTTCTCTGCCTTACTGATTCTGGTTTTGACATCCTCTTCCAGGCCGCCAGGCGAATTACTAGGGTCATTTTATTACACTTCAACAGGACCTCTTTTGTGTGGTAGTGAGCGTTGGAGTGAAACCTGTCCAGACCGAGCTTAAGGTTTCACCAGGAACTGAGAATATGAATTTTAGTATCTCAACCACCTGTCGAATGCCATTGATTAGATTCAAATGTGTCAGCCTTGACAGCGAGATTTTCATCTACCGATCT